AAATGGGTAGGCCCGGGCCCCCTAGGGGGCCCGGGCCCTGTGACTAGAGTTGCGCCAGCCCCACCCTTGTGGGGGCCATGCGCTGTGTACAACGTTGTGAAATCATATTGCAATCATATTGGCTGTAATAATTACAGTACAACAGTATAAATAAAACATTAAAACACTGCACGCTAAATGTATAGACGACGGCCCGGCGGCGCAGCGGGCGTGGCGCGAAGCAGCGGCAATGGATCCCTTTTGTACCTGATTTTTTAGAAAACCGAACATGATAAAATTTTTTTGTGAATCGCATAGTTAAATTTGGTTATTTATCCACAACTTTCCCGCTGACGAAATTTCTCTGACCAAAAAATAAAAAATTTCCTCGCAATACAACTTTTTCATGTCTGAATCTGAAAAATTAAACTACAGAAGTGTTAAACATATTTATTACTCAATTACTATCATAACTAATAATTTTATATTCACACCATCGTTTTCCTCAGTATCATATCTACAAGTGTGCAAAATTTCAGAATTTTTTGTCAACTATTAATGTTATTTATGATCGTGTATTTGTCGCGGGGTTTTTAATGCGAACTGAGCTCGCGGGTCTTGGATTCAGGCTGTGTGACGGACCAATATGGCGGATTTGACCACACTTTCAGTGCATTTGGTTAAACGCCGTGTCCTCTCTATTATTATTATTATTATTATGTGCTCGCTGATCGCGACATCAGTTCGATGGATTGAACGTGGAATCTATATTTTCACGGTTGTGAATTTAATCAGACCACATCAAATTGTAAAAACCTAGATTGTACGGGCCAGATTTTTACCCCCAGATTATACCCCCGAAATTTTACTCCCCGGATTTTTACCCCCGGAATTTTTGGTCTAATATATAAATTAGTGAGAATGGTTAATTATCTTCATTCACTTTTAATTTAAAAGTAAACATTTTATTAAGACTTTCTCAATTTATTTTTAACAAAAACTAATCGAACAGGTTTTTTAATTTTAATTTTGAGATTTGAGTATCAGGATTCGATATTTGAAGCCAAATGTTGGTTCATTATGATGACATATAAACAAACATCTGAATGGTTTTTCGAAGATTTCTTTTACAATTTATTATACAACCGTGGTAAAACAGTGTTTTTGTTTTGTGTTATTTTACAACAAAATAAATACATCGTTTTTCATGGTGGTAGAATAAAGTCGTGAAACGTTCACCCTATTGTTATTTAAATGAGCTACTCAGTTTACGTTACATAAAGTACTTATAACATAACAGTGTTGGCCCCAAACGCAAATCCCGAACATCAAAATAAAACAGAAAATTCTGTTTACTAAGTTAAGATTACAAAATAAATAAATAATGATAGGCTACTTAATAATAAAATGTTTACAATTGAATAAATACAGAAACAAGAAAATCAATCATTCTTAATTTATAATTAAGCCCGGCCAGGGGGTAAAATTCCGGCCCGTACATCTTCAGTTGTCTAAACGCTAGTTATATGTAGTCTACAGGGGGTAAAATTCCGGGTTTTATTGATAGTCAAATTAATCACGCTCCGTCTATTTTCATTAGACTTCCGAATCCGCGGGGGTAAAATTCCACCCGCGAACAAACTGTTGAGCACTCCGGTTACTACGTCGTAGTGACGTCAGCTTTGACCAGGGGGTAGAATTCCAGAGGGATAATAATCGGGCGACACCAGACCAAGAACCAAACAAGCAAGCATGTCGAGCTTGATTGTTTTCGTAGTAGTCTACCGAGTGTTACAGTACAGTACACAGCACTGTAGTTTATTTTATATATAGGTAGTATATTCATATGCACATTTGGCCAGCTTCTAAGGAATCTTCAGAGCGTCTTTCTTATGTTGTGACACTGTTACTTCTTTAATCTAATATATATATTATATAAATTTAGTAACAGACCAAAGTGGTAGTGATGATCTTACAGTAAAGTATAAGAAGACGCCCTAAAGACGTCTCAAAATGTTCAAAAGCAGTCGAAGTTTTCTTCGAAATTTGCATTTATTATACTATGCAAATTTCGAAGAAAACTTCGACTGCTTTTGAGCATTTTTTTGTTGTGCAGACAACAAAAGAACAGATAAAAAAGACAAATAAAAAACGGTTTCTACAAACTGAAAAATTTGCAATAACTTTTGAACCGTTATTTTTACACCACTGGGAGGGGACCATTTTGTATAGATTTAAAGCTCCATTGAATACTCAATTTAATCAATACGTTCGAGTAGTTTTGATGAAAATCCCATTTCCGTAATTTTATAGGGTTTTAGGGTTGAAATTAGTATTAGACATCTAAATTAAAAAGAATCAAATAATACCTGATATTATCGAATAAATACCGACCCGCATACCAAATTTCGTTAAAGTTTCAAGAAAACTTTTTATTTGGTAGCTGCCTTATTTTTCTTATTTGGTATATATCTTAACATTTGTTTATTTGACATTGCAGCCTATTACTGTAAATGTTTGAATAAACAATTTGAATTTTGAATTTGAAGAATTGTAATGTTCCGGGTTAAACGATGCGCATTTCACCTCACTGAGGCATCCTTAGAGAATCTAAAATATTAAAACTAAATGTAAAGCACTTATTATTTATTTGCATAAAACATTGATGTACATATTATAGTGATGTAAATAAACAACAGTCGTTTCCAAATAATAAACTTCATGTTGTTTCTTGTCTCAGGATTACTGTTTTTAGATTATAAAAGGTATAATGTTACCTGGATCTGCCAAAGGCTGTCTGTCGAGACTACGCGTTTCGAAGCATTAATAGCTTCATCATCATCATCAGGTCTTCAAGAACACTTATCACTCATCAGAGGTTGTCAAATAAATATAATTTTTACAAACATACATACGAAAAATAGTAGGCCTACGAACCGCGTGTGCGCACTTTTGACTGCAGCGGTGAAGGTTGGTGTCGTGAACTTTGTCCCTTGCCGGTCAGCTGTTCCTGGTTAGCTATTACAGTATCATACAATGCATTTGACTGGAAATTTAGTTTGTCGTTAAATAGATCATAAATATGGCTTTTTGTTGCCTTGTATATCAAAACCAGATTCAAAGAACACCTTCCAAAAGCAAAAAATTATTTAAAATCCAATTATGCAGCCCATCTGACTAATGAAAATCATAACTATACAAATTTCGAAACAAACATGACACCCCTACATTTTTGCACTAGCCGGGTTTACACGATGCCAGTTGGCGAGACAATTGTCTTTGCCAATTGGCATCACGTGGTTTTGGAATTGTCGTAGGCCAGGCAAGTTGAACGAGAACCTGTTTACACGTGACCAACACTTGCCCAGGCATTTTACAGTGAACCAGGGTACTACTGCCAAAAGACAAGACAGTGCTATTGGCCTCTACACTATTTACACGGCGCCAATTGTCACGACAACTGGGTTTTTGAGGGGTGGGGGCCTCACTGGGCCCAGCTCATTGTCCTCAGTCTACTCCCGGACTCCCGGAGATAACTGAATTTCGGGACAATTGGCGGGCCAATTGGCCTGAAGTGTTTTCACGAAGCCAGTAATTCCAAGCCAGTCAGTTGTCTCCTGACAATTGTCTCGCCAACTGGCATCGTGTAAACCCGGCTAAAAGGAAGCTTCATGAACACCATAGAAGAATACGAGATATACAAAGCAACAAAAAGCCATAGTTATGATCTATTAAACGACAAACTGATGAGTGATAAGTGTTCTTGAAGACCTGGGGCCCATTTCATAATAAACTACCAGTTACAACTTGTAACTTGTAATTTCCATTAGATTTGCATTGGGCGATCAGCTGATTTACTAATAATATTAGTTTGTACTTTATTATGAAATGGGCCCCTGATGATGACGCTATTAATGCTTCGAAACGCGTAGTCTCGACAGACAGCCTTTGGATTACTCTGGCAGATCCAGGTAACATTATACCTTTTATAATCTAATAATATAATAAACGTTCAGTAATTACTAACTTTCAGTATAGACTTTTATTTTAAGGGGTATATTATGGACGAATAAGTTTCCTCTTTGATTTATGTACTTCATTTTATTTTTTAATATCTGTTCACATACTAAGTAGTCAGTCCCAGTTAATAATCAATGGTGCAACGGGAAAAGTTATAAAATTCAGCGCTTGGTTAGGGCGGTAAGCTGAATTTTTATTTCAGGTTTAGTGTTGCCTACAGTATTATTTTGAGGCTTCTGATTGGCTGAGGGAACATCATTACCGCAACGATACGGATCGACGTCAACGGCCTCGGTGGAGTAGTGGATAAAGTGCTGGGCTGATAATTCGAAGGACCTGGGTTCGAATCCCACCCGTAGTACTATTTTTTGAATTGGACTTTTTCATTATCAACACGTTTGGTTGGTTTGGTTAGGTTATGATGGTTTAATTTTATAATTAAAACATTATAAAATTGAATTTGACCCATTTATAGTTTTATTTTATGAACAGAAACATATTTTCGAATAAAACCTTCATTCGATTTTTCATTGTCAGCAAGTCTGGTTAGTTTGGTTAGGTTATGATAGTTTAATTTTATAATTAAAAAATTATAAAATAGGATTTGAGGCATTTATAATTTTATTTTATGAACACAACTATTTTTTTTTATTAATAAACCTTCATTAGATTTTTTAGCACGTTTGGTTGGTTTGGTTAGGTTATGACGATTTAATTTTACAATAAAAAAATATAAAATCGAATTTGAGGCATTTATAATTTTATTCTATGAACAAAACTAATTTTTCAATTAGTAAACCTTCATTATAGTCAATCAGAAGCCTCTAAATGACACTGTTGGCAAAATTAATCCTGAAGAACAAATTGTGCGGGCGGTAAAGGCGGCCATGGTGGTAGCCGTGGTTACTGGTTTGTTTTGTAGCTGTTGTTAGTTTGGTAGTAGTGGTAGATCAGGGCGATCAGGTTTTATGGTTTATGGTCATTTGCTCACTTTTTGTAAGCTTTGTTGTTTTGTTTTTAAATAATTGAGTTTTGAAGTCTCCTTTTTGGTTAGGTATTGGTTGTTGAAGTGACTACAAATGCTAAAACTTAAATGGTTAAAGTATGTTAGAATTTCAGGCTAATTTCTAGGTCATTCCATTCGTGGTTATATTTTACATCTCAACTGAAAATTAACTATTCGCAGTGAGTATAGCCTATCAGGCCTTTGATACAAGCAAACTATTTACCCTGTGGCAGTTAGTTAGTGTTACTGTACAACATTTCTCCCTAAATTATTCGAAACGTATCATTAATATTTCTACAAGGGATCAATAATGAGATAAGTTAATAATTTAGCTTAAAAATAAAAATGTACAAAGCAGTCATGGCCTCTTTCAACTGAGGCCTAAATTCACATTGGCAAAGTTTACCTTTTGAGCCCTAGGAATATTTAGATACACCTTATTACCTCCTCTTCGTCTTTGACCAGCCAGAGCTGGATGGACAGTGTCAAACATTAAAAAAATAAAACTTCTTGGATTAGGCTAGAACAAACATGTTAGGCATATCTACATCTTTTGGTTTTAATATGATGGCGGTGGGCAGTCAAGAGCTTGTGCCTCCTCAAAATACTCTTATTGGAGTAGTATCGGTTTCACAGGAGGAGCTAATTGATCCTTTCCTGAAAAAATGTTTGTCTTAAGGTCTCTCAGGTGAGGTCAGCGCATTGAACATTTGCACTGCAACTGCGGGAAGCTATTCCTTGTCAGGGACGGTCTAGGCCTATATCAAGAATCAAGAATTTTTATTTCCACAAAATGCAGGGTTACATTACTGGAAAACGTCAGTACAACTACAGCTAAAATAAAAACTAAAATAAGAGAATAGTACAAGGTTTCTTTCTTACTTACTTACTTACTGCCAAGGCTCTTGGTACCCAAGGTGGTACTTTGCCTTGCCAACCCACTGCCTCCAGATTTTTCTATCCATTGCCTCCTCTTCCCTTCTTCCAAGTCTTCTTAGGTCTTTTCTATCCTGGTCTTGCCATCTCAACTTGGGCCTTCCTGGTGGTCTTCTGCCCTCCGGATTGTTCAAAAGGACGTTCTTGACTAAGGAGTCGTTCTCTTTCCTTAGTAAATGGCCAGCCCATCTCATTCCTCTCATACCTCTCATCTCGGCCACTATGTCTGGGACCATATATAATTGCCTATTAATTGTCGCTTAGCACTTTTTTGATGAAACGCAAACAACGATATATCGTTCCATAGCACTTTTGGGAAAAAGATGCACAACATTTATCATCGCATAGCACTGAAAGGGTGGGTATTTATACTCTGTAATTGAATCAGTTTCATTTTCAGGATTCAAAAATGAGTGCTAACGAAAAGAAGATGCCTGGGACTGGATTGGAAGACATCGGAGTGCCGGGACAAATGTTCCTTCGCGATGCTCTCACTAGCTGCACTGATCCGCTCAAAGCAATCGAGGAGTTTCAGGTAAAATAAACAAATTTATTTATTAAACTGGATTGTCCAACAAGGCAAAATCCCCCATTTTTAGTCTGAGATGTTTGGGTTACAGCAAATTCCCTTGTACCTTGTAGGGAAATAACTACAGTAGAACCTCTTTAATCCGAACTAATTGGGACCAAGGGTAGTTTGGACTATTGAATAGTTCGGATCACAGAACATATTGTTGTTTTTACATAACAATACAGTAGCTAAAACAAGGCTAAAATTAATCTACATTATTTTGGGATAGGTAAGTGAAAAATGTTTTATAAAGTAAAATACAGTGTTTATTTAATACAGTAGTAAACATGGTGAATAAACAGTACTGTAAATTATACAGTAAACAATAAAGAACTGCTGTACTGTGTACAGAGTACAGCAATGAGGGGTTGGGATTAGTGGACGTTCGGATTACAGGGATTCGGATTAAAGAGGTTCTACTGTATTGGTAATTTCCAATAAGATGGTTGTATAAGAATTTTTCTTGTCTAAAAAGGTGTATTAAAAGTTCACAACAAAATACTTTAACACATAAAACACGATTGAATCTTCGCCTATTGGGTCTGATGATGATTGGAGTGTCCAATTGAAATTGATCACCACTTACCATCTTTTTTGTATATTTACCGTCTTGTGAGTAACAGTATAAGCGTAAATATATGTTTTAAATGTTATAAGACGTTTCTTTTATTTACTTTCCGTAAATTTAATAACACGTACAATGCTGATCAAGAAGTTATTTCAAACTTTTGACACACCTCTTCAGGCAAGATAAGTTCCTTTACAACAATTTGATGATGGCTGAAGAGCCAAAATGCACATAATCTGTCAGGACAAAACTTTGGTGATAAGGCGACATCAGGTAATTAAATGTTTTTTATTTGTGAGCTATTATTTACCAAATAAGTTGTGTCCTGGATCCTAATAGACTAGACTTTATGAACTATATTTTTACATTTTCAGTTGGAAAATGGAATTCTTCTGCCGTCTCTGAGACAAATGCTGCCTTTGCTGGACCTTCACGGAGTCAGGAGATTAGACTTCCACACATCAGTAATGGAGGTAAATTTTTTTTATTTATATTAAAAACGGTTTTAAATATTCCATTGTGTCGACTAGGTCCCTATGTTCTGTGAAAATATTTTTTTTTACCTATGGTCCGCGAAAATATTTATTTCCGGTATCGCAAATCTAGCGTAGACTATTGAAAAAAATGTTATTTTTATCTGATAGTATTGTCTTCTGAGATTACAGTTACATTTGTGATTATTTCTCTTGGTCTCCTCAGCGACACGGTGATTGTAACCCATGAACATAGTAATACTCATGAGCAAATGAGCATATCCTGCGGTCTCGGCAATACCTCAATCAGGATTTTTTACAAAATTAAAAGTGAACGTCATCAAGAATAAAGGATCAATTCAGGGCTAGAGATATACAAGGGCTAGGCCACGCGAGCTCAGAAAGTGATGCCAGGTGGCTCCCCACCACTCCGCCGCTGTGACGTCACGGCGATACCTCGGGCTCCCGACACCGTATATCTTTGCCTGTGTGAGCGCTGGTATTACCGCACATTTAGCGTTTATTAAGCTCTATGTTGGACATTTTTTATTAGGTATTAATGTATTTTATAAAAGTAATTGATTTTCAAATAGGATTACGTATAACATCAATTTTAATAAGTAAAAAATTAACTTTAGTAGATATTTAAGGATGGGAGTGGAATGTAAAGCGATGGCTAAGATTACTGTAGTTATTGATCCAATGCATTAAAGTTACTGTGTAATATCTGTGTTCATATTGCTCGAATGTATCTTAATGTGTGGATTATTAATTGTATTTATTTATTACTTATCCATACCTTTTAGGATTCATTGAGGTTATATAAAATACATTGAGGTTGTATACATTACCTATAGGCCTACTTAGTATTTTGTAACTTTTACAGGAAGGAAAAGAATTTCAATTAATCAATTACATTTTATTATAGGCCCTACATATTTCAATACATTAAAATAACATATAGCTGCAGAAATACTTTAAGTTGCCTGACTAACAAGTCGAGTTTTGGTGTGATTTTACTTTATCGGTTTACATCGTGATTATACGTTTTAAATGTTTAGTTACGATATTATTTATTGTGCCTCGACTGTAATGTGACATTACTTTTAGAAACTTGAGACAATATTTTTTAGGCAGTTTTTGTGAACTTCATTTACTTTTTACCAACAATGAATATCGTGGGTTTGACTTTATCTCTTTATCTTTATCTTCTCTCTTTATCTCTTTAGTTGTAAGAATTGTACTTATTTAGTTTATCAACTGTTTTATGTGGACATACTTACTTAATTTGAGGTCTGGGACATTACATTTAGCCCGTTTTTGAAACATTTCGTCATAATTAACAAACTATTTAATCGCCAAAAGAAAAAGGCACAGCAGCATTTTATAGAAAAAACTATAAAATATTTATTTTTGTATATTTGGCTTTATAACTATGTATATTCATGTAGGGGGATAAGTTTATTTTCATTTGATATAGTTGGTTTATGGGGTTTTAAAAATAATATATACGTGTGAATAACAAAATGTTTTTCTAGACAAATATAAACACTTATTAAAAGTCATAAACATCTATTGAAATGATCAGTATCCATAAACAATTCTTACTTCATTTTATCTCCAATATTATTGCCTAAAAATGTTTACTTTTACCTCTTTTACTTTATCTCTTGATAATACATTTATTTGGTTTTTATTTGAAATTTGTTGTGCAAAATCGTGAAACTTGTCATTTTATTGTTTTTGGGCCATAACTTTGTATGAATGGTAATTGGAATCTTTTTACATTTCCATATAGGGAAATAAATTCCAAACAATTTGTATATCTTATAAAACATTTTTGGTTCATGCAGCAATTTTTCTACCTACTGACAATATTTTCTATAATATTTTTAATATTTATTTCGTTGCCATTTTCAAATTCTTCATTTCATTACGAACACTTCAAGTGGGAAATAATAAATACGGTTCATAGGTTTGATCTGTTGGCTTAGTTTATATGAATTTTCGAAAATATGACTGCAAAATCGCCAAAAATGCCTTGCCACTACAGAGTTTGCCCATTGCAAGTTGGAGGGTTAACGAAACCCGCTTTAAAAATCACACTATAAAACTACATTATTATAAACACAATTATTAATATGCGAGTAGATGCCGGGCGACATATGCACTGCCGTGCTAGGCTACCGTCACGCCTCGCGCCGATGTATCTCCGCTATGTCACTGAGGAGGTGCGGGGGAGGGGAAGTAGGATCAGGCGGCGACCGCTAACATCAAAGGAGTGAGCCAGCCCTTGTATATCTCTAGCCCTGGGATCAATTATAGTCATAGGATAAGGGTTATTATTCTGGAATCCAAATTTAAGTTCATTTTTAGATTTTTTTCCAGTCATTAAAATTCACCTACAATTCCAGGTTTTCAGCTTGGCTGGAAAAGCTGTTTAAATATTAGTATCAACTTCAAATATTATCAAATATTATAATAGTATCAAATATTAGTACATTTCCTTCCTCCTTAGTACATTTTTTTCTTTACTACAACTTCAAAATTATTTGGATGAACATGGAATTTTATCAGACCAACAGTTTGGGTTTAGAAAAGGTAAAAATACTACTGATGCACTATTTCCTATCAATAAAACTTTAATCGAGTCAGTGAATAGAAATGAAAAAATACTAATTGCATTCATAGATCTTGCTAAAGCGTTTGACTCTATTGATAGGAAAATTCTGTTAAAAAAATTAGAATATTTGGGTGTAAGGGGTTTAGCCCTGGCATGGTTTAAAAGTTATTTAAGCAATAGGACTCAAGTAGTATCAATTAATAACGTTATTAGTGATCAAATGAATGTAGATTTTGGAATTATTCAAGGTTCTACTATGGGGCCTTTACTATTTTTAATTTACATAAATAACATAGATAAAATTGATATTTCTGGAAAAATATTCTTGTTTGCAGATGACACAGCGGTAATCTTTAGGGCACGTACTTGGGAAGAGGTTTTTAATATTGCATCATCAGAATTACAAATTTTAAAAAGATGGTTTTCAGAAAACATTTTAACAATGAATGTCGGTAAAACAAAATGTTTGCCTATCGCACTTCGTCCCGCTAGCGGGCCGCCCGCCGAACTCAGACTAACCTTGCACTCATGTGGCACCGCAGGCAGCGATTGCAACTGCCAAATTATTGAAACTGTGTCGCAGTACAAATACCTGGGCATTATAATGGATTCTAAATTGAAATGGGAAAGTCATATACATTTTTTTTAAAACAAACTTAGAAAAATGATTTTTGTTTTTCACCAATTGGGTCAAATTTTAAGACATGAAGAAATTAAAAGAATTTATTACGCATACGTTCAATCTCATCTGCAGTATGGTTTAATAGCTTGGGGAGGGGCTTATTCATCGGTAATTGAACCTTTGTTCGTAATTCAAAAATCAATAATTAAAGCTGCTTTAAGAAAACCGAGACGTTATTCTACTGATCATCTGTTCAAAGAATCTCAGCTTTTATCAATAAGGCAGCTATATGTTAAAGATTTATTAGCTTATTCATACATTCATTTAGACCTTATCGCATCGCCCGTAGTTCATAACTATCATACCAGAAACTCGGTGATGATGGGATTACAGGTCCCAAGAGTTCTCAAATCAATCAATTTAACAAATTCCTTTTACATTGCTAATTGCTTGCTGCGTAATATTCCTCCAGAAATTAGGGACCTGCGAGTGTCACTGAGTGTATATAAGAGGGTTATCGCTAATTGGCTGATGGAGATAGGCCTCGACAATACAGAGTCGCTTATCAGCCCAGAATATCTCGTTTAGACCTAACCAACTGATAACTGGACTATCTATTGTACCTTCTACAGCACTCTTACTTGATGGAATCCACGCCTCAGTAAAATTGGGAATCGAAGGAAAAAAAATTAATGTGTATTGGTAAACAGATATTGGATGTAATGCAATGCAAGCAATGAGCTCCCCTACTATTGAGTTACATTTGCATATGGTTGTTAGGTTTCACATTTTTTTTTTATATATAATTATAATTGTGTAGTAAATTAATTGTTATGCTTAATAATTTGTAAATAAAGAATTTCTCTCTCTCTACTAGTGAAAATTAGCTGTAAAGCTTTATTCGCACAAACATGCAAACAATTTTAGTTCGCCAACAAATCACATGTGAGGAAAAGTATAGGAACAAGAAATAAGCGAGAAAATCTCAAAAACCACCACTGAACTATTGAATAAAAATTATATTGCGGGTTTATTGGGCTAAGATTTCTATAATCAAATACTGCTGGCCCCTGTTTCCTCCATAGACATACCATATGGCCCTCGAGTAAAATATGTTGGAGACCCAGGCTCAAGAGTGACCAATTCAAGTACTGTTGGTTTTAATCAATGTTTACCACTTTGCAATCTTCCTTTCTTTGTGATCAACAAAGCGGTCAGTGACCATAAAATATTTTAGTTTTGTGTGTGCAGGCCTATATGTGTTCAATATTTAGAAGGACTCACGTACGTATGATGCCTGCTCTCCCTCCTAGACCCTAAACCAAATAAAACATATTCTGTTCAAGAGTCCTCTACCAAGAATTGTTATACTAATAAGCTGGTTACTGGTATTGTATATGATTTTATTATTTTGCAGGAAATAAGAGAAAGACTTATTCAGCACATCAATGACATAGGCCAGAAGGAAGGCAGGGAACGGGACAAGAAGTTGAAGGAGTTGTTGTCGAAAAGTTTTCCCCTGGTGAAGGTGAAACCACTGAGACCAGTTGTAATGGCCATCCTACGTAACACAACACACATAGATGATAAATACCTGCGGGTATTGGTGAGTAGGCCAGTTGTAATGGCCATCCTACGTAACACAACACACATAGATGATAAATACCTGCGGGTATTGGTGAGTAGGCCAGCATCAGTCTTCAAGTTCCACTTCAGACTTAAGATAATTTACTCTTTTATCTAGCAGTGAGATTTTTACTTGTAGTTACAAAGGTCTACAAAAAACAGAAAGGGCTACCTAAGTAAATATTTTATGTATTTTATTTTGTCGTTTGTACTTGTGTAGGTAATGTCAATATTTAAACATCCACCAAAGTAGGTCTATATCTATCTTTGAAATAAGTGTAGGCCTAAAAACTAAAACTTTATCAATACGATAATTAAAAGTATTTATATTAATACCTCTGTAACATCACACTTTCAGAGTAAGTTGATGTTTAGTTGTTGAGTTTTTATTAAAACATATTCATAATAAAAGTAAAAATACACTTTGATATACGTTAGTCACAAATATAGGTCTCACTATGAAGACTATGGTAATATCTACTTTCCTTTACAAATGTTTGCTTATAGAACATTTTTAGATTCACTTCTTTTTTAGTTACTTTTGCTACCACATTCTTAGCGTAAAAAATTGCTCAAAGTGGTAGGCCTAAATAAAAACAGAACCAACCAAGAGATTCATATTCTTGTCAATAGATTTAGCAGCTCCGTAACTATCCTTCCTTTCCTTGCATTGTAATCATAATCTTTTGTTTTGCTTATAATCATCATTGTAATCCTCATTGTTCTTAAAATTATTGTGGACGGACTCATCAATTTTGATGTTTATTTGTTTTCACGTCCAGTGCCTTTGGATGACTGAAATCTGTCATCGCATGCTGATTGGTTCCTGGAATCTGGAACCTAATTTCAGCTGTCTCTAGTAGACATTTCTGAATTTCGATATGACTAATCAAAGTCATTTTAAACTAAATTGAGGTATAATTAATAATATACATAGTCTCTGTGAAATCTTGAAAAGTAGGGCACTCTTGACATTGTGGATTGCTAAATTCTTCCACTGTCACACAGAGTTTGTAAAAGCGAGTCGAACGCTCGTACTGCCCAGTGAATGCTGGAATCTCGTAATGAACACGTTCCACGCAAATCACATTTACTGTTGTCTCATGGTGGTCTTCGGACCTATCCATAATGGATAGGTCCGAAGACCACCATGAGACAACAGTAAATGTGATTTGCGTGGAACGTGTTCATTACGAGATTCCAGCATTCACTGGGCAGTACGAGCGTTCGACTCGCTTTTACAAACTCTGTGTGACAGTGGAAGAATTTAGCAATCCACAATGTCAAGAGTGCCCTACTTTTCAAGATTTCACAGAGACTATGTATATTATTAATTATACCTCAATTTAGTTTAAAATGACTTTGATTAGTCATATCGAAATTCAGAAATGTCTACTAGAGACAGCTGAAATTAGGTTCCAGATTCCAGGAACCAATCAGCATGCGATGACAGATTTCAGTCATCCAAAGGCACTGGACGTGAAAACAAATAAACATCAAAATTCATCATTGTAATGTCTGTAGGAGGTAAAGCTCCTCCTCTTGCACTCACAGGTTGAGATTATGGCTGATTCTTGTGTAATGATCATGTATGTCGGATCAGTAACTGTACTTATCAATATTCTCTTTGACATATAATGGGCTTTTTTATATTTGGGGGGGGGGGGGGGGGGTAAAATATAAACATGGAAGGGTTAAACCATTTAAAACCTCAACCTCAAAACCTGCTTTGCAATTTTCACTGAGCTTAGTTCCCCTTAATCCATATAACTTCGAAATGCATCTTGAAAACAGTTTTGACTTATGTCGAAATACCCTTTAAGAGATTAACATATTGTACATGGGAGAGGAAAATGCAAAATTATGAATATAATGTCTTGGTACCACTGGTAGTGTTTTGTTCAATTTCACAGGTAAGGGACCGAGACTTGTACAATGACACGGACACCGAAGTGAAGCGTCAGATCTGGAAGGACAACCAATCTCTGTTTGGAGACGAGGTGTCACCGCTGCTGTCGCAATACATCAAAGAGAAAGAAAACGTCTTGTTTGACCACAACAACTTGACCAACCTGTTTTTCACACCGTCACCAAAGGTATGCTCTTAAAATTATGCTGTAATTTTTAGTTTAGAGACAGACAGTTTTAAGGGGCACTAATCCATTATGGCGGGTTTTCCTAGCTGCCAAATGCGGTGCAGGATTGTGAATGTCGTGCAGGTTTTCTAGTACCTGACTCTCGTACCTTGACATATCTATAAAAGTCTAATCTACATAAGAGGTTAATTTTCCTTAGTTTCGTCTTGTGACTTATCTTCCTCTAAGGTTGGATGACGATAGTTTTGGCAACATTTACAGATCTACAAATTCATGTTCCGCAACTAGTTCTGGTTTGTTTATCCTCAGGTAAGAATAAATAGTACGCAGGGCCGGATTTAGCATTTTTGCGCCCCTAGGCCCAAATAATTTTCCGCCCCCTAGTCTGGTAACAGTTACTTTCCTTCAAACCTTTATTAAAAACTATATCATGCCCATAGGCCTAAGTCAATTGCTTGAATACCACTCCTTTTAAGAATTGACTTGTTTAGCCTTAACAAAATGCCGTCTTAAACACGTTTAGCAATTCTATGCTTTTAATAAATGCTCACGTTCGTGGTCGTGGGAATGAAACTAAACAACTCAACCCACCAAGCATTCCTGCAAAAAGAACATGGCCATTGATTCCAATTCCAGGCCCAAAAACATTAACTCCAACAGTACGTGATACCATAGATTAAACATACTCCTTTAGTAGATTTGTCGTCATTTTGGATTAGCTGAAAACAATTCTTGTTGTTTAAGGAGTATGTTTTATCTATGTTTAAACCTAGTTTATCCAAAATAAAACAATCTAATCATCAACAATAGGTCGTCTCCTGTTTATATTACAAGAAATTTAAACACACATCATAGAACTAACCATGAAAAAAATAGAAACAAAATTATGTCAAAACTAACGTCCAGTGTCACCAACATGAACTAGACATGAACAAATTTTGAATTAACAATGTCATAAGAAGTCGACTTGATTTATATTTAATCTATGGTCGTACTGCATTTAGGTTATATTTCCAGAGCAATATTCCGGCCAACCGTACCGATCCTTAGGTCTGAGGAGAAAATGACAGCATTAATGGTGGGTACTTTGGAGGGTATTGGATTTTTCTAAAATCTAATGCAAGCTGAAATTAATATTTTTTCAATAATTTTAAAGGTAAATTCATCGTTGTTTTAATATTCAACACAACAGTTAATAACTTTTGTTTTGTGAGATGAGGGTGGTAACAATGTCTAGCACGTATGCGCCCCTAATCACTCTGATCAGTAGTACCAAGCCCGAGGCCCGAGCCAGCATAGTAGAGCAGAGTGGCAATACGATGCGTACCCCCTGGGCGCTCGTCAACGTCAACATCCCTACAGCCTACTCCCGTATAACCAATGTTCGCTACCAATTTTGTAACGAAATTGATGCGTAATTCTGAAAAATAGTTTAAATTTCCTAACAATTATTTCTTCATTCTTTTTATAAACTTCAGAATCACAATGCTTTGGATTTTTTATCAACTATGACTATTTATTTTTATTTTTAGATAGCCTAGGTATAAAAAAAATTACTCTCGGCCGTGCACCCTCTGGGACCTTGCGCCCATAGGCCCGGGCCTATTGGGAAATCCGGCCCTGATAGTAAGAGAGAAAACATCTCTGTTGCGGATGTACCGAGCCACAATTGCGTTGCTCAACTTTTATGCCTACCATTTTTACGACATGCAGCTACACGATCCAACACAAACAAAGTCTGTGGCCAATGTTATCATACTAGATTCACAAAGCCAGCTGGAGTGTGAAGGTGGACTTGGCAATATGGTGTTTGGACTTGAGGGTAACACCATTTGTCTCTTAGAAACCCAATCTTGTACCCAGAAGCTTCTTCAAGCTCTTGTTGATTAAAAGTCTTTTTAACTGATGAAAGACAAGTGATTTGGTACATCTACGTGGCAAAGTATGAAGATCCTTAAACCTTTTCAAATAAGATACATATTAATATGATATATTTTATAGCCTACGTGTTCATAAATTAACATGTTGACTGCGGCCTACTGTTATAGCAGTAGCGCGGCACTGGCACTGCTCGTGGCCTACTGCTATATAAGTAGTGTGCTTGCCTGCCAAATATTGCGTCTGTCTAAGCCCAGCACTCGGCCGGCGACAATGTGATTGTTGCCACGCTGTATCTCCCCTACAAGCTTTATTTTGGTGTAGGTTGGTACTAAACATTCCTGTAAAATCCCATCAAATAGTATAGATCGATTTGAGCCATATTACAAAGACTCTGGTTATTGATCAAGGCAATGCTGCTCCCTGGGTGTTTCAGTGAACTACGTCCACTTTCGGGGTAACGCAGAACAATCACCATTGCTCTTTTGTGATTCGTCTTACTGAGATTTTTCAATGTTAATAGCAACCGCGGATTCAGTTGCCTTGCAGCAGTTTAGGAGCGCCTGTGTAAAGGTTTTCAGCAGTCAACGTGTTAAAATAGTTTCTTTTCATATCCTATGGGTTATGACTATTCACTCATCGCCACTTATACTTTGTCCCTAGCTGAGGAGACAGGGAGACGTTGTTCAGAAGTTGGCTCACATGATCGGCAACAGTGTGAAACTCTACGACATGGTATTACAGTTTTTGCGCACATTGTTTCTGCGCACACGCAATGTTCACTACTGCACTCTGCGCGCTGAACTGCTCATGGCTCTGCATGATCTGGAAGTTCAGGTGAGATATGATAATTATTATATTTTTTGTATTTCAAGTATTAAGTTTATGAAGGCGTGTGGCAGTTAGAGCTTTTATGTAAGGTAAAATTCTTGTTTTGCCAAAGTCGAATATCGAGCCATAGTTTGAAAATGGAATTTCATAGTCTTGTAACAAACAGCTACTGAACTACAAAATCCTAAATCAATTTTACCATTTTTTTAATCATTGGTATCATTTTGAAACATTATTGTTTTGAGTTAACTGTAGCCCAATAATTAAATTTGATTTTCAAAAGTACGAGGCTTGTCCAGAAATTAAATACCGTTTTCGAAATAAACAAACAGATAGTTTTATTTTTCAACAAAATTTATTACTAAAAGAAAGAGGATATCTTAAACTTTTTTACCTACGACCGTTTTTTAAAGTAGCCATTTCAGTTCAGTTCTTAGAATTGAAAAGTTTCACTTAACAGCTGTTTACTTTCATATCAGCATAGTTTTTCTCATATCAACACGGGTAACGGACCAATGAGGTTCAAGGATTGAGAGAAAAGAAGTACAATTGTAATACTTCGAACGTCAACTAATCAGCTGATCAGTTGACAATTTTAATTGTTGATCCGGCTTGTTCCTGTTGATACTCGCGTATTCTTAACCTAAGTTGGTGGAAGTTAAATGAAGGTTGATTTTAAAATATCAGTTAGTAAAAGTGATGTTGACGAGATAGAAATGAGAGCACAAACTGTTTGTGCTAATCTTTTGCCACCAAAATCAAAACAAAGGTACCATATGCAATTACATACCAGCAATTCATTAAATGGACGAAACAAAATAAGGTTAAATTGATAAATGAAAATGTTCTTCTAGTTTATTTTGAAAACCTCTTAACCACTTTTTCACCCAACTCATTCTGGACCACATATTCGATGCTGAGATCTAACTGTAAATTAACTGTTTCACTATATTATTCAGTTGTCCAAAAATATATTTATATTTTTAATATAAATATATTTATAATATACTATACAGTATTTATGGTAAGAATGCTGCTAGCAGAACCTATTGCCTGAAAAAGTAATGTATTATTTAACAAAGTATTACAAACACGTAATTACATTAAATCAGCTGATTATACAATAAGTCGTTGCATCACTTTCAGTGACAATGACAATAAAGGAAAACATAACCTGTCTAGGAAGTAGTTATTGTTAGTAATAAAATACCCCCGCCGCAGCAAACCTGCCGACTAAGCGAATTTCCATTTGTCTGAATTGTTTTCAGTTAAATATATTTTAATAGCATTAGGTTTAACGAGTACCTAGGTTTGCTGCTACAAGGAAACTAATAAAGTGTGTTTTTGAGTAAAATATTGTTAGCTTAGTACAAAATAAATAAATTTGCCAAGTTTGATCAAAATATATCCATAAACAAGCAAACTACAACATTTGACAATATTCTCCATAAGAATAACATGGGAATTTTAAATTTACAATTTTTTTAATTTTCTCCGTTACTAATTATTGAACAAAAATACTTTTATATACTAAATTATTTGTTTTTTTAAGCTCTTTCAAAAGGTCTAAAGAGAAATCGGGAAATTTTGTATTTTGAGGGTCAAAAGTGAGAAAAACCAATTTTTACCCCATAAAACCCCCCGTAAAGCCCCGTTCCCATGGTCCGATCGTGCTGGTTCGCGAACTCATTCAAGTTTATCCCGCTTTACACCTTTAAACCAAATTTCATCAAAATCGGACAAAAATTACTCAAGTTATCGCGTTCACGGACGTATATATATATATATATATATATAAGTCTATATATATATATATATATATATATACACATATATAAAAATTTGAACGAATGGTGTTTTTGGCCTCTGGGGACATCAAAATGAAAAAGTAAATCGGTCCCGGGGCTAGGTCTTACCGTGCCACCTACGGTAATAGCTACTTCCCTATAGGGAAATTCGCTAAAACCAGATTTTTAGTAATTAAAAAAACGGTCGTAGGTAAAGTAGTGTACGCAACTCGCGTTAATAGTCTTTACGACACTCGTAGAAGTTTTTAAGGCACTTGCCAAGGCTCGTGCCTTAAATTTTCTTCTCGTGTCGTAAAGAGTAACTTAACGCAATCGTTGCGTAAACAACTATTTCTACATAGTTTCCACCATTGTTCAGACATTTGTCGTACTGGTAGCAAGGAACCAACTTTTCTATACCCTCTTCATAGAAAGATGCCGCCATTGAAAAGAGCCATTGCTGAACACCGTATTGAGCGTCGTCATCACTGTCAAAGCGGCGCCGTCCGAAATCCCGCTTCAAGCAAAACACAAGTGGATATCAGATCAGGGAGGTATGGAAGATGGTCAAACTGTGCTCCCAACCAAATCTGTGAATAAGGTTTTGAATGGCACCAGCAGAATGGGGACTCACAACAGATGGCCGCCCATTGCGAGCCTCGTCATGAACATAGGTTCGCCCATAATTGAATTACCGAATCCATTTTCTTACCATTCCATCACTGATAACTTTTTCTCCATAAACTTCTGTAAGTCGGCAATGAATTTCAGCAGGCTTCACGTTCCTTGTGTTCAAAAATCGTATTACAGAACGCACTTCACAGGCCAGGGGATCAGAAATTGTTTCAAACATTTTGAGTGCACACTTACCAATGTAAACACAACACAATTTTGCCGTAACTGCGTCATCTGCTCAACAATGAAACAAGGAGACTAGTGTGCATGCACGTAACATCGTAACAATGTTCTATCATTAGAAGAAATCAAATCAATAGTTTTTTCTTTTAAAAATAAATTTTCTTGTGATTATGATGAGATCCCCATGCCTATTATTAAAACAGCAATTGACTATCTAAAATATCCGTTATGTCATCTTGTAAACTCTTCTTTTATTACAGGTATTTTTCCTGACAAATTAAAGATTTCTAAGATTAAACCAGTCTTTAAAAAGGGAGACCCCGCTATACCTTCAAACTATAGACCTATATCTTTACTACCATCCTTTTCTAAGATCTATGAAAAAGCTATGTGTATAAAACTAACAGAATTTCTGGAAACCAACAACTTGATAGATAAAGAACAACATGGATTTCAATCCGGCAAGTCTGTGATTAGTGCTAGTGTTCAGTTCATTGAATCAGTAATAGATTCGGTGGATAAGAGAAATAATGTTACTGGGGTCTTCATGGACCTCAGCAAGGCTTTTGATAGTGTGTCACACTCCAAGCTGGTAAATATCCTGTTTTGTTTGGGTATCAAGGGAAGAGCTTTAGATTGGTTTAAATCGTATTTAAATAACAGACAACAATATGTAGAAATAACTAATGTCACAAACAACAATAAGGTAAATTTTATTTTATCATTGGAAATTTTAAAATATGGAGTGCCACAAGGATCAATCCTGGGACCACTGTTGTTCATATGTTATACAAAGGGTTTACCAGATGTATTAGATGATGCTAAAGTCTGTTTATATGCTGATGACATTAGCTTACTTGTATCTGGTAATACCCATCAAAAAGTAGAGTCAATAGCAAATAACCAATTTCCACACGTAAATACTTTCTTAAACAATTTAAACCTTTTAGTTAATATAAATAAGACAAAGTGCATATCTTTCTCAACATATCAAAGTAATAAACCAGCTCAACACAGAATTTTGATGGAAGGAAAATGTCTAGAAGAACTGCAAAATTTTAAATTCCTAGGACTTGTACTTGACAAAAATTTGAATTGGAACCTTCATATTGAACATCTTGGCCGTAAAATTTCATCAGGGATTTTTACACTGAGAAAAATGTCTAAATTATGTCCTTTGGAAACATTAAAAATAATTTACTTTGCTTTTATTCACTCCCACATCTCCTTTGGCATAATTTTATATGGTGCAACCTCTCATGAAAATTTGGAACAAATATTATTATTTCAAAAAGAAGCACTTCGTATCATGTTAAACATTCAAGATTGGAGAACCTCAGTTAAAGAACAATTTTCAAAACTTTGTATTCTTACTGTTTTTGCCCAATACATCTTTGATTTAATCTTGTTTGTAAAGAATAATTTACCAAAATTTGAGACCTTGGGTTCATGCCACAGCTATGGGACAAGGCACAGACACAAAATCAGTTTTTCAAATCACAACTTAAAATTCTTTGAAAATAAACCTTCATATGCTGGGATTAAATTTTATAACCTTCTACCAGATAATATTTTACAAATAACAGACAAAAATAAATTTAAAAAACAGCTAAAAACTTTTATGTTATCCAAGCCCATTTATTCCCGAGATGAATTTTTTAGTTGAATGTGTTGTAAATTTTTAAGCTAAGCTTTTGTATTTTTGTTTAGCCTTTTTATATAAGTTATGGTTAGTTCTAACAATATAATTTAATTGTATAACGCCATTCTGGTGCAACATGTTTTACTCCTGAATAAAGATTATATGACTATGACTATGACTATGACTATGACTATCGTTTTTAGGGCTGTGCAGGCGTTACTTACTTTCTGGACAAGCCTCGTATGTTACAATAGATAGTTGAATGGTTTTTTATCTACTTCTAAAGACCACTTACCACAATCACCACTCGTTATCTTTTATATGTATTTATTGGCTTTTAAGCAAAGAGTATAAGACGGTGTGAATATATGTTTATAATTTTATTAGACATATTTTTTTCTGTGGTAATTGTAACATGTGATATTGCTTTGCAGGACATTATATCAGTCGATCCTTGTCACAAGTTTACGTGGTGCCTCGATGCTTGCATTCGGGAGAAAAATGTGGATATCAAACGATCTAGAGAACTTCAGGTAGGTACAGCTACTAAACTACAAATTTTAACTTCTTTACGAACATTATTCATGTAATATGCATTGCCGGTTAAGTGTAAGAAAGTAGTACTTTGTGACCTATCTAATTAATGTTTTTTTTTTGTCTTAATTGCATTACCAATTTGGTATATGCTGTTGATTTTATGTATTCTAGATGTACAAACAAAATATGTTGGTATTAGAATATTATTTGATATACTCTAGAAGCTTGAGGTATTAGTTGCATTTTTTAAATTCCTCATTTCTGACTTGTCTTCAGGGCTGATGTCAGTAGCTATGCAACTTTCTTTGTTCAGCTTTTAAATTATTTGGCCAGTCTTAATACTTTCTTTGATACAATATCATTTGCTTATTGTTCCACTTGAACAGATTGTAAATTAAATAAAGTTAAAAAAAAAAAAAAAAATTTGAACTCTGAAGTTGTTTGTGATATGTTGTAGGGATTCCTGGACAGCATTAAGCGAGGTCAAGAACAGGTCCTGGGCGATCTTTCCATGACCTTGTGTGACCCTTACGCCATCAACTTCCTCGCCACCTCCGCCATGAAGATACTGCAACATCTCATCAACAACGAGGGACTGCCCAGGGTATGTGACGTGTGTCGGATTGCTGTTGAAAAATAACTATAGAGGCCACTTATCCAGCAGAAAAGTTGCTACGCTTTGTTATTGAAATTTTATTTGAGAAAAAATCTAATCAATTTAACTTGTTTTCAGAATAGTGAAAATTGGGAGGCAAAGCAATTATCTTTTTCAGAAATGAAAGGAATTAGATCATTAAGTGTTTATCTTAAGTGTTTTATGATGTGCTTTAAATATCTGTGTGGATAATTATGAAATGTTACAAGGTTTATACCTATATTTTTAGAAGTGCATGGTTAACTTCACAGGGTCATTGGTCTAGTGATAGTGTGGGACTTAGGTACCAGGTTCAAATCATGCCAATCCCCAATATGGTGTTAAGCTATGTGTTAACACAACCCACAAGGCCTAGCTAGAAGTTATGTGTAATTTACACATGTGTCTTAGAATGTGAAGGTAGGTCAAGAAATGAGGTAAACTTAACAAGCCTACCTGTAACATTCGGGTAACGATTGCAATACAATTCATTCAAGAAAGGTTCTTCTTCTAAAATAGTTAATTTGTTTTCAGGAAAACACCATCCTTATCTTGCTTTTGAGGATGCTGGCTTTGGGGCTCAGTGCTTGGGTCATGATCGATTCTCAGGTAAGTGAGACTAAAATTAAAAACCCCATCTAAATACAGTAGAACATCGATAAACCGGCTTAAACAGCTGTCACAGGCCGGATTTAGGAAAAGGCCAGACTATCAAGAGATCTACAGATAGAGAATCTATATAATTAATACGCTACATGAAACTTTGTCGGTTGAACTCCTCCGCCATTTCTTAACCGATTTTATCCATTGACGTCTCATTGGAAAGAGCGTGTCGCGTAGATTTGCAAACTGGCCTTACATTTTTGAAAAAGTCCCTTGGGCTCAGCCCCAGTGGCTTTGAAAGTTCCCATGTTATCCTTATGAAGAACACAATTGTTTACATTTTGATCAGCTGTATAATTTAATTGCTGTTATTTATTTTTCAATTCAATGAAACGCATTGAGTACATTTATTTACCAATTGAGTTTGTGTAAACATAACCCCCAAGACGGATCGTGTTAGTATGGTTGTATCTTAAATATGTGTATTTATCGTTGTCTGTGTCGCTATGACGGATCGTGTTAGTATGATTGTAACCTAAATTTGTGCGTTTATCGTTGTTTTGTGTAGCTATAATTTGTTTATTTATTGTTTTTTTTTCTTTTAAATTCCTCCGACGCGACGACAATGAAACATAGATTGGAGGCATAATCGTGATAACGACCGCAGCTACAGAACAGTGGCGCGTAACAGGCTTAACTCATCACAGTCATTACCTGACTGACCCTGGACAATCTCAACTATTAGGTTACAAATGCGCCCTAACACTGCCCCAAAACAACTTTTCGTTCTCAATTGGCCCTCTCTATCAATGGCCTGTATTGCCTGTACGGAGAGTTATTTTGAGAAGGAGAAAACCGGCCGGAAAGTTTAGGTTTATCAATAACGAAGATAAATAAACATGGTCTGAGTTAGACATCGGTAAATCTTTGAGTTGACTCTTTTAAGCTCATTGTAAATAAGACTGTTATTCGTTTTGAAACTCCTGTAATACTTTGCAATTGCTCGAATTCGAGCAACATGTACACTAGTTACAGATATAGAATTAACTAGCTGTGTACCCGTTCTACGCACGGGGATCTTATAGTATTCAGTTGAAACCTTCTTATATAAAGAACAGCAGTTGGTTTGCATATTTTCAGATATGCTGGCCAAACTATTATACATAACTTCATTTTATGCTGTTTGTTGTTGTTCTGAATCGGTACGGTATGACAATCAATAAAAGGTTAATAAATTACCTGTGTCCGCCGGTCGATCCTAAAGTATCTTATTACAGGAGATGCATTTCGGCGAAATTAAATCGCCATCATCAGACCTAATATAAGGTCTTGAGCTTCCCCATTAGGTGCGTCTTGAAGTTTTTAAAACACATACACGAACTGTAAACTTATACACATGATGAATTAAACATAAGTACACGGTATGCCTACTTTTATTTTTACTATGGACATGTAGACGCGCGTCGGTCGTGTGCCGAGTCTCGACTGAAAACACTCATTTAAAAAATGTAAGTTTCCCAGCCATATACAACACTGATTCAAGGTCTTTTTCCCGGTTATCAAAACTCAAGAACAATTTCATACACAAAGAATCTCTATTTTCATTTACGGTTACCCTACAAGTTATTGCACTTGCGATTAATTCAATCCGTTATGTAAGGAAACACGTTTTTAATCTTACTTGGTTTGGATTTGCCTTCAAAACGTGATCGGAAATGGTTGCGGTATTTATAAACAACATTCAATGTAAACATATCAGTGACAGCTAGAAGAAATAATCTTGATTCGAACAGCTGTTCGTTATTTCATAGATGAATAAACATTGGAAGAAAACTTTACAAAAAATCGCACAAAATAGGGTTTTTAAACGTCCGTCATTTTATTTACAAAGTAGTGACGCTATATTTTAATGGCTAAAGACGATCTCGCCAATCCAGTTAATAGATTAAAATGATTTGGAACTTGATAGGTACTCTCGTTTTTCAGGAGAAGGCCGCGTAAAATGGCTCTTGGGCCGTAACAGACTGGAAGACAGACAGAAATTTAGATGAGACTTGTATCGGTTTCTTTAATGTATAAATCGTAAAAATAACCGTAAAGTTTATGATTCTGAGCAATGTACAGACAAAACTCTAATTTTATTTATATAGATTATTATTGGATAGAAAATTACAGTTATCAAATCAAATCAAATCGTTTATTTCCAAAATATAAACAAAACAATAAACAGATATAAATTAAAAAGAAATATATTTTTCCGCATAGGCGTTAGTTATTGTTTGTGAATTTGGGATAGGTTGCCAAAGTCGCTGCAAAAAGTAACATCGACATTTTTATGCACTGCTTTTTAATGTTCTGAGCTTGAAGTTGATGACCAATGACTTACAATGTGGTGAAAAAATAATTACGAATAAATAATTGCTGTCTAAGAGAGATGACCTTTTTTATGAGCAGTGGCAAGAGCAAATCGGCCTATGTGAACTCTCAGTTGAATTTAGTCCCCTGATTTGTTGCCACTTGCCAGTTAGTACTGTAGAAGTGCAGTTCGGCATTGCAATTCACCACTAATATACAAAAATACAATGTTAAATTATTGTAGTAAATAAAGTACAACTAAGCACCCTAAATATTATAATTTTTTTATTTTTTATTACCTACTAGCTGTAACCCGCGGGCTTTGCCCCGTTTAACTTCTTAATTTTCAAGATTATCTCGTTGGCATGGCTCAATCACGTCCTGGTTGAAGTTTGTTCGCTACGCTCACTCACCTTTAGGTTGGAGCTCGTTCGCTACGCTCACTCACCTTTAGGTTGGAGCTCGTTCGCTGCGCTCACTTGCCTTCAGGTTAGCTTGTTCGCTACGCTAACTCGCCACCAGGTTGAAGTTCGTTCGCTACGCTCACTCACCTTTTGGTTGCAAATTAGCTGTTGTCATAAATGTTAAAGAGATAATAGTGCTGCACCCTGTTGGTAATCCTTGTAACTTTAATGCTATTGAACATCATAGAACGGAACCAACTTGTTTAATTGAAACAGCTGTTAAGATTCAATAATTCCATTTCTCATAAGATTAACATGGGAAACTCCAGAGCCACTGGGGCGGAGCCCGAAAGGATTTTTGAAATAAGAATATGCCTATATGTTAATCGGGAATGTGAGCTATCATCATGCCAAATTTCAGCCCAATCCGACCAGTATTTTTCGCGTTCACTTGTCACAAACATCCAAACTTTCTCATTTATAATATTAGTAGGATTTTAAATTTTTTTTTATATAAGTCTTAAATATTAATTTTTTGTATTTTACAAAAACACAATGATCCAAAAGTAGGTACAGTAATTAATGTAATGTTTGTAATTGAATAAAGAACAATTGAAGCATGATAATATATTGTTTTGTACTTTAAAATTAAATTACATTATTTACAAACCATGTCCTTAAGGCTATGATTTCTTTGAGAGATGGGATCGAGTCAAATTACTGGACAGACTGGATTATCGATTGCCAAATTATCGTGATTCTACCTTATAACATTTTAATCTCTTCAAATCCGAATTCATTTTAGAAATCATTTTCTGTTTTTTGTAGTGTTATACTATTAATTTTACTTATTATGTTACTAATTAATTAAAACATGTAATTTCTGTTGGTGTGATATAATATACCATCTAAAACTTATCATTTGATGAGTATCTTTTTTGCATTTTCGTTAATTTATGAACCAAAACATATATTATTCTTTCATCACTCTTAGTTAGCTATCTACCACAGCCGTGTGTTGTTAGTGAATCCTTTAATATGCAACAACTTATTTTGCATGATGTTTCGTTTGCAGGAGTTTAAGGAACCTAAGCTGGACTCCCAAGTTGTCACTAAGTTCCTGCCTGCCCTCATGTCTCTGATAGTCGACGACCAAGTCAGATCACTCAATTCTAAACTGCCTCCTGACGAGAGGGAGTCCGCCATCACTATCATTGAACATTCAGGTAATGATGGGAAATACTGTACCGTTACTTTGCAATATCAGGAACGTTCTTTAGCTTATCAGTAATAGGTGAAATTATTATTTGTGTCACCTCGTACAGTATATTTCTTAACGCAAGGTTGCTTTTACTCCCTGTTCTGATTATCAGTAGTGCCTCAGACTGAATGTTATTATTGTGGTTTCACCCTTTAATTCCATATTGATGCTCAAAACCTAAAACAATGGTTTGAAGTTTGGGCTTAAAGAGTGGTCAGTTCTAAGATGTAAGTAGCAGAAATATATGTGTGATGTGGAAAGCGAACAGGGACCTCTTGTCGGGAATTTTCGATTTTGAGTTGTATATATATTTGAATTCCCTATTAAATTCCGAATCAATTGGTGCAAGTCCCACGCATGTATGATTTTTTTTTTGTTTAAGTTATAGGACTTTGAAATTTTGTTATGGAAAAGGGTAATTTTGAGAAAAACGAAAAACTGTTATGAAAATTTCAAATAGGCATAGAAACAGTGCTTTTCTTATTTAAGAAACAATTTTGGTATCAAAAGAAAGCTTATAATGTCCTCTTTGAAAGCAATACAAATGTTTTTCTTAACTCACGGTAGTTTTCATTTAATTAACTGTTTTATTGAAGCATGTCTAAAAATAATATTTCAGAAAAGGGACCTCTTGTTGGCCCTATGTTATTTCTCCATAAGATAAGAAAAGGTACCTCTTGTTGGGACCACAAAATTTGTAAGATATTTTGTTCTTCGTGAACTGAACTTTGACGTAGTTCTCTAAATGTCCACTAGAATGCAGGACAATTCATTTTTTGGACTAAAATCTATTTAAAAAGTGAATATTAGAAATGGGACCTCTTGTCGTTATGGCGAAACAACATTGCGCGACAAGAGGTACCTTTTCTCAGACTGCGCATAGGCTAACAAAATGATTTATTTCGACCTTATGCATCTTCAATTTGATATTTTAACCGATACTGTCATGACTGTGCTAAATGAGGTATAACAATCGATAAAACCCCAAAATTTGATATTTTCGACCTTAATTGCTTATATTGGTCGTACTGAAAATGTTGTATCTCTGACCAAAGGTCTCTTTTCGCTTTCCACATCACATATACAAAATTTGCCGAAAGATTGTACAGCAGAGATCCAAATTCTTCAGTGATGTTTCAGCAACATATTTTCCTAGAACTGTGTGAATTTATACGACTTTCTCTACCTCAATCAAAAACTCTCAAATTTACCCTCATGTTATTAGCAAAAGTAGCCATGGAGCGTTCTAAGTTGTTTTTAGGGAATTCCTTTTTTTTAATAAGGAATTCAAATCAATTTTAGATTCTTACCTTCACCAGCTTGTATATACACAACTGTATCTGTAGCATCAAAGATAAGTAGTGAAGAAGTAAGTCGTGTCTAGCACTAGCACTAGTGAAGGGCATAGTCCATCACCGTCTCCCTCACCCTCACGTAATACAATAACGCTTCCGGTGGAGGAAGACCCTGTGCCATGTGCAATAGGAATTTCTTTACAGTACTTGCCGTTTGGGCTCCTTGCTTGTTATTGTTAAAATTGTATAAACTTACCTGATTCCGTCTGTGATCCTAAATTATTGTAGTGAGCAACCGGTTATAACCTCATCATCAGGCTCTTGTTGTCACTCTTGCGAGATCGTCGAGTTTAAAGACACACAAATACATTAACATTTAAATAAATATGACACGAGACATACTGACAGACGATTAACATAAATTCGGAAACTAGTTCCACACACGACGCGGCACGAGCAGATGTTTTGTCATGACAAGTATATTTTCGACACAACATAAGCGAAAAGCTCATGGCTGTCTGTGGCTTACTTGTCTATGGTAGCATTAAGGTAAACCTCAACAAATGCCCAACGGTATGTTCTAGAAATCTGTATGTACATAATGAATAGTACTAGTCTTAAGCTGCTAGGTGTAGGCTGTCAAACAGTGACCGGCTATAATATGTTCAACAAATTTTACCACCCTTAAAACCTTCCACAGCTTTCAGAAGAAAATCAAAATTTACTAAACAACCCTTGCAACAGTCTCATTTGACTGAAAAATATATGCCACCAGCAAAGTTTTGACTAGCTCTGTTTGGGTCGGGGTAAGTCCTGAATTTGGGCCAAGCAGACACTCGGGCGATATTTTATAACTAATTCATTTGAGGGCGCCACCTTGTTGAGGGTTTACTAACAGGATGCAACAAGGAACTAATCCTTCCCAGTCCGAGTGACTCCTTCAGTAAGCAGGGAGAAAAGAGAGAAAAAAAATCTAACTATGTCAATGAGCCGTATTTACACTAATGAGGGACATATCATACCCAAATAGACAATCTTAAAACTAGCAAGAAATATTCAATCAAGTGAAATAATATGTTCAGTTACACTAACTTAATTATATACCAAGGATACCAACAACTTCAATAAAAAGACTAAATTGAGCTAGAACACAATAGTTATTCAAATAAATTTCAAAAGTCAAATATCTCTTTAATCAACTAATAATATTTCAAAATTCAAATATTTACCCTTTTTCTTAAAACAAAGTTACATTTACTTGAATCATATTACAGCTCAACAACAGATAATATTTACTAAAATACAAATTAATTTTCAAAATATTTGTTTAGGTCCAGGACCAAATTATATTTAAAGCCTAAGGACTTGAAATGTCCCTTAATTCAACAAAGGCAAAGTATCAAATTCAATTCTTAAGCAACTTACTCCATATTATTTAAGTGTCAAAATTCAATATATATTTCAAAATAAACTCTATCTTAATTAAGCATAAACATATTAAACAAATATCAATCAAAACACATGTGAGTTTTGACGGTGGCCACCGGAACACCTAAACAGAACATACAAACAAACAAGAATATATATACACAAATATTTCAATATTTTTCCCAACTAAATATATACAGTATAACTAAATTCCAATAATAGCTTCTGGAGCACTGCCATGAGTCGTCAGTCCAAAGAATGTCCGTCCGGTAGATTTACTTGCTGTGAGTAAATAATATAAGTCACTCACCGATAGAAGTCTTCAACACAATACACGCTCGACAATAGATATCCGGCCGGGACCGGGCGATAGTGTGTCGCGGCAACTGAGCTGACCGCGCGACAGTAGACGGTAGCGGCAGACAAATGGGTCGACGCCAGACACAGGCTGCGACAGATGGTTGGGCCTCCAGGTCCACAGGTAACACTCGAGAGTTCAGTCAATCCAGGTGGACAATGATCTCAGAGTACGGTAGTCGGGAAACGGGAAACCCTGGGTGCACAAATTTGGTATAGCCTACTGACTTGTAATAAAACCATAACAGTGAAAACACAAATTTTTGTCTACTCAAATTTAATAATAAAATGTGAAATTACCATTATATTTACAAATTACAATTTACATTAATATTTACAAGTGAAAGTTGTCCAGTATTTATATAAATCAATTATTCTTTAAATCAATTAATTTACTGTAAATTCAAAATAACAACGACTATATTTTTAAAGTGTATTTTTACTTGTCAACAATTAATTTAACTTCCAACTTTAGTTTTCAACTAAAAGCTACTTCAAAATAAAATATACAAGGTTGAATGGCACAATAAATATTATGTTGCACTTGCTGAAAGATAAGACAAATTCAAAACAACTATTACAATGACCCTAGTTTGAGCTTTAACTAACACAATACAATGACATTACCTACACTAATAAACATTTTAAAGGCCATAAATTATTGTTCAGCAAATATTTAAACAAAGGTACACTAGTTAATTCGCAAAGTTTGTTTTACTACTAAAATCTAAGCATTTTATAACTTTTTGAGTCAACAGTTACTTATTTACTTTAACATTTACTACAATTGAAACATAGCCTACACTCTAAAAATTTAACACTAATAAATTTATTAATTAAAATCGTCTATTTATTCCCTTTTGATTTTTCAAACTTTAATATTTAGTCTCCTTGGTTCTTGACCTTCAAAAAGTTAACATCAACTACTTTACATTTACGACAGAAACATAAAACATGAAATTTTCAAGATGGCAAACAAAATCGTGTACATTTACATAAAATAACCTACATGAATGGTCTTGCAAATACAATGACAAAATTATGTAACAACTGACATTAATTACATTTGTTTAAATCAAACATTTTGAATAAAGCTCCAGAAAAGTACAACATTTTTACTAACCTACAAATTTACATGACACGGTTTTATTTTAAATTGGTTTGTTAACTAAATATTCTCTCCAACTTTGAGTTTCAAACATCCTACTGAACAGGTTTGATACGGCTGATCGACATACTAAATTCATAAACCTATCTTTGAAGCAATCGGGTATTACATTTATTTACAACAAATCTAAATAAATACTCAATCATGATACTTAAGAAAAGGCTCCCTGCTTACCTCAGAAATTTCCTAATAATCGAACATTCAAATCCACCGACGAAGGTGATGAGGGTCCTAAAACTTCCAATGTCCTGGTCTATGCTCCAACTAAGGTCCAAAATGCATCGCTACAAGCGTTGTCGACTCTTCCTGGAATTTTTGCATGCACCGACAATCCTCAAAGTCACGTGATTCATGAATCATCGGCAGCGTTCAACATGGTCTAGGCGGAGAGGGGAGGGTAACTGACTTACTTTGGCTCAACGGCAATTCTTTTGCTCCTTTCAGGCGAGGGTAGGCAATGGCACAACATTTCCTGGTAGATATTGCCAAACATTTGAAGGCGCGCTACTTCAACTGGTTAATCCATAATCGAGGTGATCAGTCTCAATTATTTATGAATGGGCTTAAGTGGTACACGAAAATTGTTACACCCTTGGCAATGAAGTGTGAAAGACTTGCATTGGCATCTTTGTGTTGCCAGGTCCGCCACCTGATGCCTGCCAGGCCTATGTACAGGAGAGCTCAGTAGCCAGTATCATAGCTATGTACTACACTCTACAGACAGCCAAGCAGAGAGACAGGATAGGACTGATGAGAGTGCTAGGCACTCTGGCCACCTGTGATAGCGACCGAGCCTTCGAAGACCCCTTCCTACACTTCCTGGTAAAGTTTAAACAACATGTTTAGGTTAGCAGATTTTGACAGTTTTTGCCTTTGGAATAGTCCTAAGCACAATAAACTAAAAGTACTTTTTGAAACTGAGAATAGGTTTAGGCGTATATGTAGAATTGATATTTGTAGAACTGTCCAATGCTTTCCTAACATCGACCATTCAATACAGTTCTACACAATGTTGTTCTCAGAATAACTGTTGTTGCAAGATGTTGTTCTCAATACAGTTCATGTTCAGAGGGTATTTTCAATGGTAAAGCTGTTAAATATGTCTGACACATTTTAAATCCCTTCATAGTGTTGCATTGTATTCTTGTACAATATAACTAAAAATTAGCTTAGATTATATTTTTACCACTTGTAAAATCTCAGGGTGACTTATTAAATTATTACTTTTTTTATTGTTTCTCAGTTACATTTAAAACATTACTAGAACCCAGCAAATTCAGCTCAGCACAAGTAAACACACCAATTGACATGTTTGTTCCCAGATATCCTTATTGATCCACATGGGAGACGAGTTCTCCACTGAAGACTTCTGCACTGTGATATTCGACGAGTTCTTCTACGCAGGTATCAGCCGAGAGAATGTGGTGAGACACATGTTGAAGCTGCTGTGGTACGTTTACCCCAAGTTGTCCAGCACTCGGCTACATGCTATCATGAAGGTGTTACAGCCTAACGCACAGGTAAACAGTGTTACCTTGATTTGTACTCACCTTGTGAATTGGTGTAAATAACATCTAGGTGCAGAACTTTGTTTCTCACTCACCCACTCTCACTCATCCCCATGGCGGAATTTGGCTGCACCAACATATTCCTTATATCTTTTTTTTTTACTTTGGTTCTAAGGTGTCAAATTTAATCCAATCAAATCAATTGTCACTCATAGCAATTGAATTTCTTTAACCAAATGGTTTTGAATTTTGCTTGAATTAAGGAAAACAAATTGTCAAGCTTTTTTATTAAAATTATTTTGCGTTCATTATACTTAATTCCTTACAAAGTAGGCTATACTACATCTAAAAGACAATTTAGTCCACATTATGAAAAAATATAAAAATTTAATTTGATTACTTAATTAGTCAGTGAAAAATCTTGAGTTTATTACAATTGTTTAAACTCCTTAACAAATTCAACTTCTCCTCTCAAATCTGACATTACGTTTACCTTATCAAACCTTACCATCTTACCAAATACAACCTCCCCTTATCACCACATATGCCCAGAGCTAAACTCTCTAACAAAAGCAGCCCTACTGTGTCTAACACAAATCTTGTCTAAAAAATCCTGTTTTTCCTTGGTTTTTTTGTATTGTATTGATGATGTTTGTAGCACAACGACGCGGTCCACTCACTGTACAAGCAGCTGACAGAGAAGATAGGCAGCGAGCAAGAGCCTCCTGCTATACCTGAGAACTTGGACTATCTAGAGTCACCACTGATGTCTGTGCCTACTCCTGCGCCCATCTCATAGGTAGGGGATGTTGGCATACTCGGATGTACATTTCTGTCCCGCCACTAATACATAGACGGACATTGCTACTAGTTAAGCATTATTCCGAGGGATGGCAGCACTTGGTGAATCAATAATCTTTTATATGATTGTGCAATAGTTATTGGATGTACTTTCAGTTTCTTCAATCAGTTTAATCAAAATCCTTGGTGACTTAGGTAAAATTATTATTTTTAAAATTTATAACAAATAATTGAATGATTATTGCACGATTTATATAGGTAAAATAGTGGTGCAGTGGCTTCAACGCTGCAATTGAGCTCTTACAAAGACTTCACAAAAAGACCAGAAACAGCATTTTATCTTTTAAACTATTGCATATAATGCAAAAAATGTAATACATGTACTAAAGCTAAAATTTAAGGATATACGAAAAATCGGGTCGGATTCGGTTCGGTTTGGATATCCATAACCAACCGTTAACCGAAGCTATGAACACGTGTTTGCAGTTAATGTTCCTAAAAACCAAGAAACACTACTTTTTTAACAGAAACATTTTTAAGTTTAAAACGGTTTTTTAGTGTTTACAACAGAAATTTTGTTTCCCACTGAAAGTCGGTAAAGATCAAGGAAGAAGAATCAAATTATTTCCTCAAAAACATATTTTTGACAGAAGTAGTTCACTCTCAATAGTAGTTGTGGTCAGTGTACACAAAAACTTATTGTTATCAATATGAACGGTCTGGTCTCTATTAGCACAACACTGTCCAATACAACAAAACAAGCCCAAATTAGTGATTTAAAATCACCACTGTTTTGGCTAGGGTGGATTTTTTGAGGGTCAGGTTTGCGGTACTCTGTTCCCCTTATAGAAACCGTAAATTTAATGACCACGACATATTCTATTTAAGATTTCCTTCATACTCCCAGTATGATGATCAAAATTTATATTTGCTTGAGTAGTCACAGTTCCCTGATATTTTGGGGACTCTGTATAATCTATTATTAATTATGTTCCAGACTGAAGAGTAATCTCAGCTCCTGATCTCAGGCACAGCCAGGCCCAGGGCTGCTGTAGCACTTCCCCAGCAAAAAGGGGGTCGTGAGAATATTTTTTGTACAAAAGTAAAGCAGCTTAATATTTTTTCCAAATTAATATTTCTCTAGAGTGGAACTTAACAACAAAACTTATCATAATAAAATTGTAAAATCTTTTGGAAATATAGCGCCCTAAATAATTTCCTCTGTGGGCTATAGCACAGACAGCCCATAATACAAATTGGGACCTGGTTACTCAATATGTGCCATTCAACAATGTAAATATTGTAAAAATATTTTTCTTGTTTTAAAAAACACGTTATATGAGTAAATAAAATATTATTTTAATTTTTGAAAACCATACCAATTTATTCATCCTTTGGTTATATTCTTCTAAACCTGCACCAAATTTTGAAACTTATATTTATGTTAAACTTAAAGGAAGCAATAATTAGTATACTGTATTCACATTTTTCTAAAACCGATAAAAGTGTATTTTATATTATTTTGAAGTGTCTTACAAAAAAATGTTATATAGCCTCTATTTTTACATTATTCTAAGAGTTAAGAAGACACTATCAGCTCTGTGGTTCAGAAATATCCCAATCACAACATATATTATTCAGTTCCCAAAGATTAATATATGTTTGAAATCATTTAATAATCTTCGCTATGTTTTTGCTATAGTAGGTTAGCAGTAAAGGGAAAAGGTTTGACCTTTTCTTATTGTCATAAAAATCGTTATGTACCAAAAATGTGACTTCATGTGTAGGATAAATCCTTTTTCAATTACAAGGTAGCTTTTAATTAAGAAAGAAATTTAGTTTTTAAAATCTTCATCCAAGTCCTATGAAATATTTGAAGGTATAACTGTTATACCCTAATAAAAGAATGATGAAAATTAACTATATAATAACATTTTTCATTGTGTGTTGAGTGTATTAATTTCAGTGACCTAATAATTGGATTCTTCACTGAACAGTTTTGTATTGTTTTTAAACAGCCCCATTTTTCCTCTCCAACAAAACTATTAAGAATAAAAACTACCAGTGAAATGTAATTTTTCACTCAGATATTACTGTAGTAGTTAGATTCCTTGCAGCTAAATCAGGCAAGATAAACATGTCAAAGGATGAGTCAATTCCAAAGTGCAAGTCACCCATAATAAGAGCTCCAGACTAGACTGTACTAGTCATAATGTTTATCATACCGGACTGTACTCCCCACTCCAATCTTCCCAGCAGTACAGCTGTAGAGAGCAGCACAGCCACAAGCCACAATCCTTGGACATAACCTAATCATCTGCAAGGTGAGTCCATGAACTTGAGTTTTAGTTCCTTATCAGGAAAGAATAAAGTTACTGTACATCCAATACAATGTTATATCTAACATTGCTATTAACATTATGTCATAAGATACAGTTATTAAAATACATTTAAAATAACATTTTATTTTAACACTATTCGTGCTGTCGACATGTTTGAACATAAAAGTTGCATTTATTTCAATGTTAAGCAATTGCGGGAATTCCCGTCATCAGCATCCAACGTGTTAAACCAGTGTAGTAATTTAAAAATAATTGTTGTATTGGGTTATGATTATGGTAGATGCATTTGTTTGTGTGATTGTTTTCCACTCTGACAGTATTTTCAAATCCAACAAAAGTTGTATGAGTGCTTGGATTGGAGTTTGAGTTTGTTTACACTGAAATTTTGTTGGAAATAACATCAAATCAAATCAAATCAAAATCCTTTATTTCGTATAAAATAGACAATATTTACAAAATGTAATACATGCAATAGAAATAGGTTTTAAATGTATAACTAAAATAAACGAAATTAATCCCACATGGGATAACCCGTGCGTGGGAGTGAGTCGTATGATGTTTGATTAGAAAGAATTAAAAGGTTTGATAACAAAAAACAGGTACTTCTAATAATTAAAGTGCGGGCAAGACTCCAAAGCGCCAGCGGAGTCATGACATAGTAGATTAGGCCCACTATGTACTTTTAATCTACCATGTAGATAACAACTATCAGTGTCATGATGACCTACCCCATCCCTAACCAACCCGATCACCCCCCCCCACCCTCCCCCCACATACACACACACACACACCAACACACTACCACACACTGATACACTCAGCTGTCCTCGGTCCCAACACCAACAAGCGGCTGGTAGCCCTAGGGTACTAGGGCCGTCAATGCTCTGTCCCTGTGGCACAGAATCGAGAACTGCACACACATACACACACACACGCACACGCACTCACACACACACAGCAATGTCACGCACACCTGTATCAGCTGTCAACCTATTGTCTGTATATAGAAACTAATAAACTATTAGCTCCATCCCTACCAATGAGATTAAGCCAGTGAACAATGTGTTTTTTGTACGTTGAAATTGAGTGTCTGCCGTATTCTCGTAAGTCTAGTGGAAGGTTAGAATAAATGATGTGTGCAACATAATAACAGTTAGTGGTAGAAAATGTCTTTGTAAGTCTGGGTAAGCGTATACCTTGGCCTAGTGCACGTCGAGTATTATGGTCATGTTGTGGACGGTCAAAGAGCGTCTCATGGTGTTTGTAAATAAACAGTGAAACTGTTCTGATGAAAAGTTGTCTTACATCAAGCACATTCATTTCAGTGAACAGAGTTTCAGAAGGGTATTGCCTACACCTGCCGAGTGCCGCTTTTATGATTGCCTTTTGTGTTACAACGAGAGGTTGTAGAATGTTGCTGTAAGCACCACCCCAGGCAATTATCCCCCCCTCAAGCAGCGACTGTACATAAGCAAAATATGCATTTTTAATTTCATCTTTTTCAAGGAATTGGTGTAGTTGACGAAAAGCAAATATCAACTTTCTTAACTTTTTGTTTAAATATGACACGTGATCTGTCCATGACAATTTCGAATCAAATACAACTCCAAGATATTTATAATTTTGAACTCTATTTATTACTGGACAAATACAGTTATTTCCGGTTTCTTGACCACATGAATGAATTTTGATTTCGTTGCGAAGTGTGTCACTTCGAGCTCTTAAGGAAATTGGAATGAATTTTGTTTTGGTGACGTTTAGCGTTAAAATATTCTGATCAAACCATTTTTTAATTTTCGATACACCTCTTTCGGCATTGGCAAAAGCTGAGTCCCAAGTTTCTCCTTGGAATAAAACTAAGGTGTCATCGGCGAAGAGGTAAAATTCACCTTCAATGTCCAATTTCACAAGATTATTAATGTATATCAAGAATTGTAAAGGCCCTAACGTGCTACCTTGAACCACACCAAAATCTACATTACCAAGATTCCCATCGATTCCATTTATATTTACAAACTGTTTTCTATCATCAAAATAAGATCGGAACCATTTTAGAGCCACACCTTTAACACCTACCAGTTCTAATTTTTTTAAAAGAAATGATCTCTCAACTGAGTCAAAAGCCTTGGCCAAGTCAAAAAATACCAGAATAACACGTCTGCCTCTACTGATGGCCAAATTTATATCTTTATTAACCTCGAACAATGCATCTGTGATGTTTTTTGATTTTCTGAAACCAAACTGGCGGGGTGTCAAAATATCGTGCTGATTAAGGTAATGACAAACTTGATCTTTGATAATTTTTTCTAAAATCTTAGTGAACACACTTAGCAAAGAAATTGGCCTAAAATTTGAGATATTGGTGACGTCACCAGACTTGAAGAGGGGAATTACCTTGGCAATTTTGTAGGCATTAGGAAATATACCATTTTGGATACTTGTGTTAGTTATATGTAGCAGTGGTTGTTTAAGTGTCTCCCAGTTGTCTTTGAGTAGTTCAGCTGATACACAATCATACCCTGGAGCTGAGCCACCTCGCAGTCTAGTGACGTAAGTGTACAGTTCCTGTTCAGTGACAGTGTGAAGCGTGAGGATGGAGTCAACAGAGTGGTCAGTGTCATCGACCACAGGTAAACCGCCCGAATCCACACTTGCTGCCAAGTTGGGACCAACGTTGGCGAAGTACTCATTAAATTCGTCGGCTACCCGTAATCTACAGTCGTTTTCAACATTCAGTCTGTTTCCTGTAAATTGTGTAAGTGGGAAAATGTCCTTTTTATTACCTCTACCCGCTAATTCGTTTAAAGTACTCCAGAATGTTTTTGGATTATTTTTTGAATGTGAAAGTTTTTCTCTGAAGTAATTGTATTTGGCTAGTTTTGTATCTTGATTTAACTCATTTTTTACTCTTTGAAATTTTGAAATCAATTCCATATTAAAAGGTTGTCTCCTAACTAACTTGCTCAATTTGTCCCTATCCCTTATTTTTCGTACTAAGTCATGGGTAATCCATGGTTTGAGGGGCCTCAGCCTCGGTTTGAGAACAGATCTTTGTTTTGTGGATTTGTTTACACAATCTTTAATTTTGCCAAAAAGAATGTCTGTAGATGTGTTAACGTCACACGTGTGCGTGACATCTGACCAATCACACTCTTTAATGTTTAAGCTCAAAGATGTTTTGTCAATGTAAGTGTTTGTGTTGTGTGACGTGTCCTTAGTGTAGGGGTTGTGACTTATTTGTAGGCAGATACTGTAGTGATCAGTTATGTCCGTCCTCACCACAGCAGTTTGTAAGGCAGTATAATCATTGTGGTTTACAAATATGTGGTCAATATTTGTTTGACTATTTCCTACTACTCTAGTAGGTGTATTTATGCCACATATAAAACCATGTTCGTAAAAAACGTCCAAGTAGCGTTCAGTTTTGTAGTCAGTTTCTAGTAAGTTGGCGTTAGTGTCACCCATGAAGACGTATGTGTTACAGTCATTTTTGTTCTCATAGTAATGTCTAAGAGCGTTAGTAAAGTTGTCTAAGTCGCTGTCATGTGTACGGTACACAGTCAGAACGTTAGATCTAGTTCCTTGATGGACAAAGTCCAAAGTCAGTCCATGCACGTCACCCAGCTCCAGTTCCTTGCATTCACACACATTCACTCTCTCACTCACATACATCAAGACCCCATCATTTTTATTTTTCCCCCTAGTTGTACAATACAATTTATACCCCTCTATGTCCAACCCCGACCCCCCATCCCTACCCAGCCATGTCTCCCCAAGCGCTATGAAATCAAACCTTACATCGATTGACTGTAACATTAATAAAAGTGTATCAAAATTTTTATTATAACTACGAACATTCATGTATAAAAATTTGAATGAACTACTTTTAAAAACAGAACTTATGTCCTTAAACCTATCTACTATTGTACAGTCTATCTGCCTATATTGATCGAAAAACAAATTGGAATCATCCATGTCTCCTTAT